GTCCAGGCACATTCCTGAACTTAGAGCTGTCCAGCGGCCTTTGGATTAAGAGGGAGCTGAGAGACCTAATAACCAAATGCGATCAGTGTGTGGTCCTTGTGAGGATCTTGGCTCAGATGGACCAACTGCAAAAGACATTTTGGTGACAGCTGGGGAAATCTGAATATGGATTGTGTACTAGGTGATATAAAGGGATTATTATTTATTTTTTTAGGTATAATAATTGTATAATGGTTATGGAGGGAAAGTTCTTATTAGAGATGCATATAGAAGTATATGAGGTAAAATGTCTTTTATTTATTTTATTATAAATACTTTGGCAAAAAATTACATGAAGCAAATCTGATAAAATGTTAAGAATGTTTAAGTCTAGGTAATGGGTAGATGGCAGATCATTGCACCATTTCCCCCTAATTTTCTGTATGTTTCAAAATATTCATAATAAAATCTTTTATAATAAATAAAAAACAATAAACTAACAAAAGCTGTATTATCAAAGTGAAAATGATGTTTCAGCATTAAGAAAAAAGCAAATTTTTTGGAATAAAATATATGAAGAAAACATTTTGAAAGTTTCCGTTATTTTATTGATAAAAGAAATACAGGGGATTCCAAGATGGTGGCAGATTAAGTGGAAAGCTACACTGACACTCTCCTGGGACCAAACTGGAATTACAACTAAAATATAGAAAAACCATCCTGAATAATCAATTGAAGACTAGCTGGAGAGAACCCTTTTAACCAAGGACCCAAAGTGGAGACTGCATAGAGATCAGATGAGTGCGTGAGGGACACCCTTTTCTGCACACACTGGACCATCCCTGCAGCAGAGTTTGCTCAAAGGATTATGTCAGGATCTTGTCTGGAAGCTGAATTCAGAGGTGGAGCCCAAGGTCAGCATTAAATGAGATTCCTGGAGGCGACCTCTTTCATCCCAGTCTGTGATCTGTGTCACAAAAGGATGCCAATGAAGGCACACAAGGACCATGTGCCTACATGGCCTTTTGTTGCAGGGGCTGGCCTCCCTGCTTCTTGGAGGCAACCCCCCTGCCTACTTCCCTGTTCAGTGATTACTTATCCTCACCAAGTTCCAATGAATCCCTCACCTCTCACCAATTTGTTGTATCTGAAGAAAGTTTCACATTTTTTTCCCCCATACTAATTTATGCCTTGGAAAAACTGTACTGTAGTTGGAGCTCTTTGAACATCTATAAAGGGATAAGTGATTTAAGCATCCCTAGGAGGTGGTATGTGCCTGGTTGGTGGACCTCAGGAGAGAGGCTGGCCCAGTGACCAGGAGGCATTTGGCTCTTGCGGTGCGTGAAGAATGACCTCTTTGGGGTCAGCAGTAGTACTGCGTGTGAAGAATGCATCCTCTGTCTTCTGTGGCCCTGGACTTCTTTGTCTTTGAATGTGAGCAAACCCCTCTCCCACCACCTGCTTTTCCTGGGGCAGGGTTGCCTCTCATCACAATATGCCATCCCACATGGCTCCAGCGTCACTTTCAAACAGTTCCCTGTACGTTCAAATCAAATGTGTTTAGACCACCGCCATGGGGGCGGTTCTCTCATTAGGGGAAAAGAAAGGCAGGAACACTGGATTGGTCCTGGTATAATTCTCTCTCGTTTCTCTAGAATCCTGGAGTCTGGGTTATGAAGTCCCTTGGGTAGGATGCACCCTTTGCTTGCCAGAGGGAGGAAAGCTATCTTTTGTGCAGCTTAAGATTCTCCCATGAGGTAAGAAACCAGCTTAAATGGCCCTTTAAGCATTCGTAGAGAGAGACCTCTCCTTTGGACTCAAAGGAAGGCAGTAACTGAGTTCATTTTACTGAACCAGAGTAAGATCTTGCAGCAGTGTTATGGCTCCAGCAAATATTAGCTGTGCATCATTAAGTACGCCATTCCCTCATTTGGAATTCCTATCTTCTCACCTAAGAAAGGAGTAAGTTATGTGCCCTTAAAAGGTCTTTTCCTGTTCTGGTGTCCTATTGGGGGGGTGGTGGTGGTGGTGGTGGTGGTGTGTGTGTGTGTGTGTGTCTTCTTGAGCCCAGTGTGTGTGTGTGTGTGTGTGTGTGTGTGTCTTCTTGAGCCCAGTGTGTGTGTGTGTGTGTGTGTGTGTTCTTGAGCCCAGTGTGTGTGTGTGTGTGTGTGTGTGTGTTCTTGAGCCCAGTGGAGAAATAATGGTTAAATTGAAGAGATAAGTTTCAAAGCTATCATTTTCCCCTAGAAGTAGAACTCACTTTAAGTTTTCTAATCACCTCCCATAAGTCACATTCTTCCTTGTGAGTCTGAAATTGATTTTTTAGCCTGAAGGGCTTAGAGCCATCTTTTGATTTCTTCCACTTGAGAATCAACTTATTTTAGATGTTGGAGACTGAAAGGAAAATCTCTGATAGCTTCATCACAAATCCATCTTTTCTTTTATTCTCAGAAAAAGGATCCTTTTCCCAAATGAGGTTGAATTTTCAATATATAATAATATGTATGTGTTTATATATCTTGGCATATTAAAAGTATCTTGGGCTTTCCATTAATTAGTCTTGAGAAGAAAAGGTTAAACACAAGTGCAATTAATTTATTACCTTAACACCAGTTAGATGAACAGTTTCCATGCAAACAGCAGTTTTCATTAAACAAACAAGATAATTTTAAAATGAAGGGACAGTAGTGGTTCTCTGCTTATTTGCATGCATGACTACACTCCTAGGCTATAAGCTTGAAGAATGTAACCAAGATGAGGCTGCTGCTGGCATGAGCTACCACTGTTCTAAAAACACCTTCAAGAAGTTTCTTTTCTTTTTCAGTGTTGAATTGTTTAGATGGCTATTACTTCACTTATATCTAAATATCTGACATGTATTAAAGATTAGTGGGGAAAATGCTCGAACACTGTGGTGAAGATTCCATATGTTAATTATTTCATTTGATGTTAATTATTTCATATGCACTCGTATTCACTGGAAAATCACAAATACATATTGATATTTACAAAATTCTTTCAGTTACATTTAAATGAAGAGAAGATGGTACATTTTGGGACCAAAAGGAAAAGGGATGAATTCTGTAAACAGACACAACTGGTACACAGTCTACTCTTAAAGGATCTTATTAGAAGAAGAGTCAGGTAGGGGGTAATAAATACAAATATAGTTATTATATTTTTTAAAATGCAGATAAACCCAAATAGTTATTTGCTTGGCTTTAGAATGGTGTGTAATTTTGTGAAAGCAGAATTTACAAATCATTTGGTTTTGGCTAAAATTGAAATGAGTTTCCATTTTCTGAGGGTACAGTGATTGGACTTGCAGGTGTCTGCTGGGTGGTGATTAAATGTTGATGTAAACTTCACTGTTTAGTGAACAAACAAAAAATAATTTTAAAAGATACACAAACAACTAAATAACCCTTTCTCTATAGAAAAATAGGAGTTTTCCAAATGTGAGTGGGCCAGTCCCAAGTCAGATACCATTTGTATAGTTTCTGCTTCAAAATGAATCAGGAAGAAATTAAGACAAGTACACACAATCACCACAGATGTATAATAATACAACCAATTATGCACCCTTGGGGTGTGCAACATGCAGGAAAGGTTTTCAATACTTCTAGGACCATAGGATGCTGAAAGCCTGGACGTTGCTGAGACTCTAAAGTGGAATCTTTCAGATTATAACCCAGGGCAAGCATTCCTTTTTTGCCCTACTGTAGATGGGTTACATTGTGAAGAGCTCAGGGCACTCTGGTCCCAACAGGAACGAAAAAGCGGGAGTGTTTTTCCATAATAATCCACAGTGGATGGGGTTTCCCTTGCCCAGACACACCATTCAATATACTTATCCGTTCTTATCACTCATATAGTTGAAAAGCACTTTCCAAGTAGAGTTCATTTTGTCAAAGAGGGTCTGTTCTAGAAAAGCGGTCCAGGCCACACAGGTTATGTTCATTGCCAGTGGCAAGTTCCACCCATTTCTGCCCCCTTCCTCCCTGACTAGAGCCCTGAAATACTAAGGTACCAGGAACTGGATGCGGTCTTTGTTTCAGGATTATCTGTCTTCACACAAAAGAATGACGACCTTTCACGCATCAGTGGAAAACACTTTTTGGTTCTTTCCTCTGAAATTACACCCATGTAGATAACCAATGGGCCGGCTATGAGAAAAATTCTTTTCTGGGAGCCAGGGTCCTAGGGAACGTCCCGGGGAGGTGGTGCGAGCCGAGGGGGAAAGCTCAGTGTGATGGCACGAACTCTCTTCCGATGAGGCTGTCGGCCCCACGCTCTGACAAACTTATTTTTACATCTCCATCGAGTCTAAGTGCCTTATTTTAGTGACGTTCCTGCGCGGACGCGATACAGAATGAGGGAAGATGGAGAGTGAGTCCAGGTGGCCATTTGTAGTCTCTACCTGGGCATCTCTGTACCGAGATACAGCTTAGTGATTCTGGTAGCTTCTGCCATTTTGTTTTGCTTTTTAAATATATATATATATTTTTTGCACACAGTAGGTGATCAATAAACGCCAGCTCCTGTTGCCCTTGTCTAATCGCATGGGTGTGGCGAGCACACCGATGTCCCGCCCACGTCGGGGCCGTCCTGCCCGTCTTACTGGTGCGGTTGTGCACCCAGCGGGCGCCGAGCGGAGACCAGGGCAGCT